AAAGACAGAGAGAGAGAGAGAGACAGGAGACAGAGAGAGAGAGAGACAGGAGACAGAGAGAGACAAAGAGACAAAGAGACAAAGAGACAAAGAGACAAAGAGACAAGGAGACAAGGAGACAACCAGACAACGAGACAACGAGACAACGAGACAATGAGACAAAGAGACAGAGGGAGACAGAGGGAGACAGAGGGAGACAGAGGGAGACAGAGGGAGACAGAGGGAGACAGAGGGAGACAGAGGGAGACAGAGGGAGACAGAGGGAGACAGAGGGAGAGAGAGGGAGAGAGAGAGAGACAGAAAGAGAGACAGAAAGAGAGACAGAGAGACACACAGAGAGACACACAGAGAGACACACAGAGAGACACACAGAGAGACACACAGAGAGACACACAGAGAGACACACAGAGATACACACAGAGAGACACACAGGGAGACACAGAGAGAGAGAGACACAGAGAGAGAGAGAGACACAGAGAGAGAGAGAGACACAGAGAGAGACACAGAGAGAGACACAGAGAGAGACACAGAGAGAGACACAGAGAGAGACACAGAGAGAGACACAGAGAGAGACACAGAGAGAGACACGAGAGAGACACAGAGAGAGAACAGAGAGAGAGACAGAGAGAGACAGAGAGACACAGAGAGACACAGAGAGACACAGAGAGACACAGAGAGACACAGAGAGACACAGAGAGACACAGAGAGACACAGAGAGACACAGAGAGAGAGAGAGAGAGACAGAGAGAGAGACAGGGTGGGAGACAGGGTGGGAGACAGGGTGGGAGACAGCGAGACAAAGCACGAGACACACCAGAGGATAAAGCAGGAGACAAAGTTGGAACAAGTTGGCCGTTGGCCACAAAGTAGGGGACAAGCTGGGAGACAAAGAAAACGGGAGACAAAGCGGGAGGCGAACTGGGAGACAATGGAGCATGAGGTGGGAGACAAAGTGGGCAAACAAAGCGGGGAGACAAGCTGGGAGACAAAGAAACCGGGAGACAAAGCAGGAGGCGAACTGGGAGACCAAATGGGGCATAAGGTGGGAGACACAGTGGGCAAACAAAGCGGGGAGGCAAAGCGGGAGACAAGCTGGGAGGCAAAGGAACCGGGAGACAAAGCGGGAGACGAACTGGGAGACAAAATGGGGCACAAGGTGGGAGACAAAGTGGGCAAACAAAGCGGGGAGACAAAGTGGGAGACAGGCTGGGAGACAAAGGAACCGGGAGACAAAGCGGGAGGCGAACTGGGAGACAAAATGGGGCATAAGGTGGGAGACAAAGGAACCGGGAGACAAAGCGGGAGGCGAACTGGGAGACAAAATGGGGCATAAGGTGGGAGACAAAGTGGGCAAACAAAGCGGAGAGACAAAGTGGGAGACAAAGGGGGAGACGCAGGGGGAAACTGAGTCAGAGACAAGCTGGGAGACGCAGCGCGAGATAAAGTGGGAAACAAGTGGGAGACAAAGGGTGAAACTAAGTGGGACGCAAGATGCGAAACAAATTGCCAGACGAAGTTGGAGACACACCGGGAAACAAAGTTTCAAACAAAGTGCGGAGACACAGTGGGAGACAGGGGGGCAATGTGGGAGCATGAAACAAAGCGACGGACAAAGCGGTAGACAGAGTGGGAGACGAAGTGCGACACGCAGTCTAAGACAAACTGAAGTGCCAAAGTGGGACACACCACCGGGGACAAAGTGCGAGACAAAAGACCGAAACAAAGTGAAAAAGAAAGTGGGGGACACAGTGGGAAACAAAATGGGAGACGAAGAGACGGACAAAGTGAGAGAGGAAATGCGAGACGCAGTCTGAGACAATGTGAAGGGCCAAAGTGGGAGATGGAGACAACGTGGGACGCAAGCTGGGCGACAAAGCGGGAGGCGAAGTGGGAGACACAGTGGGATGGGTCACCCTAATCGATAATGATTGGCGCTCTTCCATGACAAGACTGAATGAAAGATTGAGGAAAATAACTTCCCTTCAAAAATCCCGAGTGGAAAGATTGGCTTTCGGCAGCCCGGATAAGCGGCAATAGCTGTCTCATGAAATGGTTTTCTTGCAGTTTTGCTGTCCCAGTGATGTTTGCCGGGTCCTCCGGATGATTTTTGCATGTCCCTTGCGGACCGCGGCGGTTCAACTAAATCGATTGGGATCGCGCGCGTAAGTTTTGAATCAGCGTATGGTCTATTTTCATCTATTTTCCCTTGTCGTCCCTGCGGCTCCGCTATTGTTCCCATGCGCGTGATCTGGAGGTTCCACCCAGGCCCCTGAATTTCAACGGTATCATTTTTTGTCGCCATGTTACTCTTCAAAGGCTTGAATAAAGTAGTCCACTCCTGGCCATGCTTGTGAAAAAGAAATTGCGAAGACAGGGAACTGGCTAGTTGGCACCAAAGTTGGCACAAAGTAAGTTGCAAGCCGGAAACGTCTGGCCGATGTCTCGTTGAGGTTTGGTCGATCTTTTGCAAATGTTTTGCCGATATTTTTTGATGTTTGCCGAGGTTGGGTCGTGTTTTGCTGAAAGTTGGTCAATGTTTTGTCGAAGTTTTGTGATTTTTGAAGTTTGGTCGATTTTTGGTCCATTCTTCTTGAGCCTTGAACTATTGCGCCAACTTGTTCGTGAACATTGAACTTGTACGCAATCTTTGCATCAACGTTGTACTCTGAACTTTTGCTCCAACTTTTTGCTTTGTTTTTTGCTTCATGTTTTGGAGCCTTCAACTTTTGCGCCATGTTGTAACTTTTACTGGTCGTTCTTTAATGTTTCATCTATGTAAGAAGCTCTCTGTCTCAGCAGTTGTTTTCCTCATAAGGCCATGCCTGAGCAATTGTAAATGATGTCTACGTTTCATTATTGTCTGCATCTACATCTTTATGTGCACGCGCATGCGCATGGATGACCATGTGGACCATGTGTGTATGTGCTTGTGCTGTGTACGTGTTTGTACTGATTCAAACAATACCAGCAATGTGATGGTTATACTGAACCTTCAACATTTAACGGGGCTGCTGAGCAGAGAGGCGGTTTCTCGTCCATTCTTGCAAGTCAGCTTGATTTTACAATATTTTACAGCCTCCATGTTACAAGTTGCAGACGTCACCGCTAACGTGCATAAATTGGCGAAATAAAGTATGGCTTTAGGTACGGATACGGTATGATACTGTATCTAGGCTGGCTGCTTGAAAGAATGAAAGGTGCCCGTAGCGAGGTGAAACAAGAAAAGGCGGCTGTGATAACTGAAGGTGCCCGAAGTTTGGGGCCAAACCATGGGTCCTGCAATTCACCATGTGTGGGTGTGTGGGTGATGGCTTTGAAGAAAACGTCTAAAAGAAAGTATAAAGAAGTCAACGGGGTCTACGTCGCAATGGCTTGAAACTTAAGAAAAATGCGGGAATAGTCATGACAGAAACTACCCCAGGCTGTGCTGAAGCAATGAGGAAGTTTAATCATTAGGCGCCTTTGGCCCACGCCACCCCGGAACCGCTGGCTCTAGTCATGCTTCTGAAGTCGAATGCAAACGCATGTCAATTGCGCGAGCATCGGTACATCTCGCAAGTGTGAAGGCACATACATTCATACCCACTATCTACGCAATTGTATAATATACCGCATGTCCATACATGCACGCACACACACCATGCATACACGCATCTTGGTACAGAATGACCTTGGCCCACTCCGTGCGGCTCGGGCTGGGTTCATTGGACAATGGCTGCTTTCTTGTATGGTACAGCGCTGAGAACGTTGAGATTGTCTGCGCCATCAGAGTGGCCCTACGGGAGCACATTTGCATTTGAATGGATATCGAACCGACCGCGTTACGGCGCAACACCTACATTGCGCCCCACATGATGCCATGCCACTGTTTTAATACGTTGTAAATATGTGCGGAGCCCCCGTAGGAATGCGCGCTGTAGTTTTGGCATCAAGCTGCTACAAAGCCGCATAAGTGCCAAAGAGCATGTTCTGGGGTTTTGACAGGTGTTCTGTTTTGGCCCCACGTGCGATTTGATGTGAATTTGAGAAGCCCTGCTGCGCAGAGTTTGCGGAGGTGCAGCACGGATTACACACAGTAAAGACAGAAATTGCGCCGTGTGCAATTTCTCATTGTCCAAAATGCCATTCGCGGCATCCACTGACTCAATGCAATCGCAGCTTCTAAAGTGAAAGGCGAAGCAATCTCAGACTACAGTGACTACAGGGCGGCCAAAGTTGGTTGCCAGTCCAGCAACCCTGGTAGTTGCAGTTGCTATTATAGTATCTCCTTTCTTGCATTGATCCTGTTCGGCTTGATTCATTTCATTCTGGGTGCGTGTTGGGAACGTTCGAGCTGACATCTGCAATGTATCGGCAACTCGAAGAGCGACAAGCTGCAACTGGCAAGCGTAGGCAGCGCTGTCCGAGCGGCGTTGAGGCAACAGTTTTGTTCTGGCTCACAAGTATATACGTGGCACCAGACTGGAAGCTGGAAACTACGTGAAAACTAGTGCTGCTACTTTTTTGAGAGAAAGCTGGCTGCATGGAATCTTTTGGCTTTTTGGGCTGCCAAGTCTCATGGCACATGGCACAATGAAATGACACAAGTGCCGTCATTGCCACTGCCGCTACCGAAACAGGTTCACCTTGGAACTGTTGTGAAACTTGCGAAAACTTTTGAACAAGGGTGAAACTGCAAATTCTTCTTCAAGGAGTCGCCCAAGCTGTGACGCACTGGGAAAGCGCTTCGGATTTCCGGCATAGGGGAGTGGCAGAGTGGCAAAACACATCAAAACACATCAAAACACAACGATGTCACTGCAAACTCCATAAGGTTCTATAGATTCTGTAAGGGTCATTAAAGGTCTATACTATACGTCTATGATAGAACAAGCGCTTTCCTTGTAATCTATAGAAAGCGTTTCGATGCCTCTAACTTTTCAGCTCGATCACGACTTGTCTCTGAAACGACTCTGTTAATTTCTTGTGAAGTGAAAAGGCTCAGATCGATTCAGATCGTCTCACACCGTGTCGCAGTCGTGCTCTTTGTTTGATGCCTCTGCCGGGCCCAGCCAGCAAGTTCTTCGGCCTGGCATGTTCGTCAGTGAGGACTGGTAGACTCCAGGTCCATACAGTTGAATGGTTGAATATGTTTGAATGGTTTGAATGCTTCATGATGCTACAAGGTGTACACCTTCTTTGGCTTACAGGGCCCTCTTGGGGGACCAGGGAAACTGCACATTGACACAGTGGCCACGATGGCTTCGACAAGCAAAAGGTGGACATTTTGCGCAAAAGCAGCACAAAGGGCAATAAGTAAAGTAAGTAAATGAAACGGAGATGTTCAAAAGGAAATCAAACAACCGAAAGGCAGGTAAAGCTGTTTTCAAGCTGTCCTAAAAATTGAAAGACAAAGAATTTGCTCCCCACGATATAAGGACTGCCACTCCTGCGCTTCCGGAGGTCACGTGCTCAACATGCGAGGTCATTCAGAGTGGCTTGCCAGCGAATTTCGGGTTTCTAGGAACGTAGCTTGCCTTTACTGACAAGACGTGGGAGACGACAAGTTCTCCTTCAGGCCAGCCTCGATTAAAATGAGTTTTAGATTCTTCGCTCCGCCCAACACAAAAAATGAAGAAAAAGAAAAACACCAACCCAAGATAGTACCAGAAGAAAACAAGTTGGCGTATTCTTCTGAAGCCGCGCCTTCTTCCCATTCGCCTTTGCGTTTGTCGCCTCCAGAGTATCGACTGTTGGCTCGTCGTTTCCGAACTATATTTCTATCATTTTCTCAAGTATTCCAAACTTTGGAGCTTTCTGAATTTTGGGACGTTTGCCAGAGTACGCAGGCGTACTAAAACACACTGTCATGGTCCTTCATGTCCTTGCATGTGCAACTGCGAAAATATCAGAGTGAGCCAAACCATCTGACATTGCCATGCGCGCTAAAGTTGCTAAAGCATCGTCTTTAAAGCGTTTCAGCAAATTACAAAACACAAAACAACGACTGCCCTCCAGCCTCGAGCAGTGCAGTAAACACCGATCCCATGTTGCTTTCCATATTTCCATTGACCATGATACTGACGGCCTCATTCCATCTGCCAATGGGAAAAGGAACGCCATCAATGGCTCTTTGATTGCAGTTCCTAAATGGCCTCTACTAGTAGTTCAAAATCAGGCTGGTTTGACTAGCTGCGTCAGCCGTGTTTGTATTTGTAAGCTTGTCACAGGATGTCATGTCGTTCACCATTGTCGGTACGTCGGCTTGACCAGCAATTAGAACAATTGGAGGTTTCCGATTACAAAATCCCCCATCTGGCCCATCAGGGACACGCCCACTATGGGAAGCCAACAAAATGGGTATTTGATGGTATTTGATTCACGAAATGAAAATTATTTTGCAGGAAATAGTGTGGACTGCGAAGGGGTGCAGAGGACAACGGCTATATAGACTGCAAGAGACCCCATATGGGACCAGCATGAAAACTGCGCAGTCTCCCGATCCGATTTTGAACATATTGACATGCACTGGCACATCCAAATCATCCAAAGGCTGGAGCTGGAAACATTCCCACAGTTTGGGACTGGCAAATGGTGTAACTGAGCACACGTCCATCTGGCCATCGAAAAATGCCCTGATTCAGCACATTTCTGAAAGGAAATCCAAAAAACGTTCTGAAACATTGAACTTGATTCATCGAAATCAGAAGCGCTCAAGTTCTGCCAGGAAAGCAGACTCTGCTGGAACAAGAATGAACAAGGCAGCAAAATCTGCGAAAACGGTTTCGGGTACAAGTTACATCGAAGTTGTGATGCGTCGAATTTGCCTCGCCATCTTTTTGGTCGTTGACATATTCGCCTTCATAGCTACGACCATCCTGCAGAAAGGGAAACACATCCACGCTTTCCGATCTTTTTAGACTTGTCACATCTTGTCACACACATGTCACGACAGCCTGCATGCCACAGCCTGCTTTGGTACGGTGGCTATGGGATCCAGAGCTGCCACTTGATCTTGGCGACTGAGGCAGACACCACCCAGGTGAAGAGTCCAGTTCCATGCATCCTCGCAGGATTTTGGCATCTGTTACCATCTGTTACAACTCACAGGGTAAAGTCATGTAAAGTCACTTGAGTAACCTCGTTTACATGAATTTACCTTTTTAATCGTTTTTTACTACATGCGTCTGGAATAATGTTCAGCCCTTTGTTGCACAAGACTGCCTGGCTTCATCCCTCTGCTTTTAGCTGCCATAAGATATGTGAAAAGCCAACTCAAAATAATGAGGAGAAAAAAGTCAGCCGCTTTCGCTTTCATGACTTCACGGGCATAGTGTGCGCACAAAAGGTATGCGATGGTATGCGTCCTGTTGTGGGCCCATTGACCTTCAAATTTACGACCATCACTCCATCGATACACGCCAACCTCAATGGGTGCAATGTCAGTGCAGTTTCAGTGGTCACTCATTGGATTTCCCTAGGCCCTAATCCTCTCATCCGCTTCTCAAACAATCTCACCTAACACATCTCCATTCTCCAAGAGTTCCCAAGGACTGCACGCCATGAATGTCATTGCCCATGAACTCACCCTTAGCAGCATGTGAAACAGCCGTCATATCTTCACTCTTCAGTCTGGGCGACACAACACATGCATACCCATGCTACATGCATCTACGTTGAATTCGACGATGAATGCACAGCCGGTACATGCCACAACATGGGCTGGCACCTGGTAGCTTGAGCCATCAGCCCAAGAGAATGTGCCTTTGCCATTCTTGTTTCCGAGGACCTTCCAGTAGGAGGGCAGCAAAACAACAAATCTCATCAAAGCAAGTTCCACCAAGTTTCAAAGCAGGTTTCTCCATGCTGTGAGCACAATTTAGTCAGGGTCGGTGTCTTCGCAGGGCTCCACGCATATGAGCCGGTGTACTTTGCCCCATCAGGCCTGCGTCAAGGCATTGTCAGACCTGTACAATTCGCATGTGATACTTAGTTCCAGGCCATACTTCGATGCCTGCATCAACACGTCAAGGGCATCAAGCGCATCGGCAACTCACTGAATTTGCCTTAACTCATTTTAACACCTTCCACGCGCTTCAACGCAACGTAACCCTTGCGGAGCGAATCATTTAATTCCTTTACTCACCGGCCTTGCCCATGCTGCTTGTCCTCTTCCCACTGCCCGTCGTATTTCGAGCCATCGGCGTGGTAGTACACGCCCTGGCCATGTGCCTGACAGAACCAAACTTGTTTCCTGTGCTAAGCACTTCTCAGTACTGTGAAGATGAACATTAAATGCAAACAATATTGTTATTATCACATCGCATCAGCACATATATAACATATTGGGATACACTGTAGGCTCCATCTATTGTTCCACAGTTTGGGTCTGATTTGAAGATCAGAGGCCAAAATACCTGACAAAAAACTGTTTTTGCCTTGTCGTTCTTCCACTGGCCTGAAAGGCACAAGCACATACAAGCACCATGACAGAACGGCTGTCCGTCACAAAAAGTTGGGTAGCAACTCAGTGGAATAAGGGCTCCGATGTTACAAGAAATTGAATGATATTGAATGAATTTTTTTTTTCCCCCGCTCCGCGGGGAGGAGATCTCTAGATTTTAACAAGAGTGCAGCTCCTCCTCCGCCTCCTCGTCCTTCTCATCCGCTCCTCCCGCAGCTCAAGTGAAGCAATCTCGCTCCAGAAGCACATGGCGAGCTCCACGGCAGTCTGGGTACACGCGGGCCCGAAGCCTACAGGGCCTCTGGCTCAGTCTGGGCACACACGGACCCGAACATATGCCAGATAGGCTGTCAGAATAGATGCCAGGCAGGATGCCAGAGAGAATGTCAGAATAGATGCCAGATGCCAGAAAGCATGTGAGAGTAAATGCTAGGCAGAATGTCAGAATACATGTCAGATAAAATAAAAAGCCAGATAGAATGCCAGAAAGAATGTCAAAGAATATGTGGGGCAAAATGTCAGGTAAAATTCCAGATAAAATGTCAGAAGATATGCCAAATAAGATATCACTCGGTGGGAATCACTCGCAGAAAGTAATTAATTAGTACGAAGCAATGCAGAACCTTTTTCTTGCCGAGGTATCGTTTGCTTGGTTGTCGGCGGTCATCGCACTGCTTTAGGAACACTTTCTGGAACACTGAGATACACTGAATATGTGACTCAGTTTGGATGTATGACTTGATAAACATCTCATATACTCAGTTTATCTCAGTTTGATGTTTTCGAACCCTGCAGTATACATCCGCAGAAACCTGAGATTCGCACCCTCGTACACGTCTCCATCCACGTGTTCGAATCTCCCGAATCCCGATGCCTGGATGGATTCCACCGTGGAAACGGGTTCCATCGGTATGCAGCATTGCAGGATAACTACGCAGTCAGAAAACCACACAAGAGAAAGGCCATGATGGATGAAAGAAAGAAAAGACTCAGCAGCTTTAGCGCGGTGCGACACCGCAAGATCGATTATCGATTCACGTGGTTAGATGCCGTTGATGATTCCGTTGGTTGCCAATTTCCTCCACCCCAGTCCTTGTCATCTGCCCAATCGCCCTCGTATCTTGCACCATCAGGCCTGAAATTCAACGGAAGTCCCTTGAAAGAGTTGATGCCATTCATCATTTAGTCTCAGGCCATATCTGCACGCCTTTGCCATGCCTCAAAGTTTCTGACTGCAAGCTCATCATGACTCATTGGGACTCATCCAATAGATATGACGCGTGCCGGGTTGTCACAGCTCACAGCATGTCACAGCATAGTGACGTAGAGCCTGCTGCTCCCTTTCCATTCGCCAGTATAAGTGGCACCACTTTCGAAAGTGCGCGAGTCCTGGAGCTGACTGAAACATCTGAAACTGCAGGTCTGTTTTCGTCTGCTTTTAGCGGGTCCTTGCTGTTTCGCAAAGAACCTGGCACGTTGTCCTCACAAATCAACGGCAAAAAAGTGGTCAGAGTGCAACCTGAAACCTGGAGCCACTGGGGCCAAAATATATGAGGCAAAAAACGTTCCAGAAAGAAAACAACCAAAAAAAAACATAAGATGTGTTTGATAGCGTTGCTTCGCAGAAAATGATACGGTCTCACAGGACCGAGTCATTCGGGTTCTACCTGATACACGGGACCACCGCGACCATCGACCACTCAATGACACCTTCACCATGTCCGCTGCATCGTTGAAGGTTGAAGCGCAGCATGCTGGAGCAGTGCCTTGGACGGTTCGCCGGCAAATTCCGATGGGTTTTTATCGAGATTCAATCGTTATTCTATCGTTCTCCTATCGGTCCCATGTTCTGAAACCAATTCTCAAAGCAAAACGAAAATCTTGTAGAACAACGTCTTTTGAGGACCACGGAACATGTCTGATCATCGGTCCTGATATCCTCCCAACTCATGAATAGCTTCGTTGGCAGTGGACTCATGGGTGGGCCACTGCCCCCTGCAAAATTGACAATTGTCTTAAAAACAAAATAGTTCCTCCAAAATTGACAACACTCCAGAAAAACAACGCAGGGTACAAGTTTTGCATCTGCTGAGATGTCACGCACACACATATATATGTATATATATATATGTACATCTCAAAGTGACAACATGAAACTTCGTACCGCGCTCTACTCACTCACTTCTTTTTCCAACGCCTGCCAATGCTCAGTCAGTTTCACCTGCTATCCTCAGGTTTGCTTTGGGTCGGTCACTATGTGACATGCGCATAGCCTCAGGCCAGTGTCAGCCTCTGGTCAAAGCTGCCTGGTCACCCCAGGCTGGAACCTGCTGCAGGCATCACCCAACGCACTACTACACCCAAAGCACTAAAGGAATTCAAAGGTGAGGATGCCTGCGACGAACGGCAGGTGGAAAAAGATGGTGGGGAGGTACGGCGAATGGAAACTAAATCCACGGCAGTGCCACCATGGATCATCGAAACCTAATCTACTGAAGTCATCGGCCCAGTTGCTCTTGCTCTGGACGTACTCCCAGCAACCCTGGGCACGCAGTGCAAATAGGGCTAAATAAATGGCCAAGCTTGGCTAAATCAGGGTTGCTAGAGCGCCCTCTCACTAAGGTCATCACCGCGGCCACATTGTCAAGGAACCAGAGGCCATGACGATTGCGAAAAAGGTCAGCCCGCTCGATTAGGGGATACAGCACCATCGAAAGTTCCAGCTGGGCAATGTGGGTCTCCGCTGGTTGCCACAGGGCTTGAAGCTCAGCACAGTTGGTTGCGACAAAACTGAGACGGACCTGTGCTCCATCTGGTTGGAAAAAGAAGAAGTGGAAACCACCAGAACCTGGGTTGTCGGCTTCGACAGCAGCATCTGATGCTGCCAAAAATCGCAGCCGCTGCATGGGGAAAACTGGAAACTCTCGTTTTGGCTCGAAACGCATCACAGCTTCGATCACCTCGAAGCAGGCCTCAATCTCTGGGGTCAGGGATGTAGCTGTCTCATCTTGGCGGGCTTTGATGGCCATGAGACCTCCATACCCGACTCGGCCATATATGCCTTGCTCTAAGAAGCTGGCAATGCCATACAGTTTGGAGGCGGTGCCTCTGGTGAAATGGCCTGTCTGACGTGCCGTAGCCATGATGTCGCGAACTTTGTCATGGAGTCTGGCGCGTGCCCAAAATTTCGCATGGCCGGTGTCGTTGATGTAGCTTAGGTCGTGGGTAAGACCGAGGAAAGTCCCGGTACTCTGCATCTTTTGCTTCTTGTCTTCGGCAAAGGGGGAACCGATCATGATGCAAAGCTGGTTCATGGCCAATTGGCCTGACCCTTTTGCAGAGCGAACATCTGTGATCGTGGCATCGTCAAAGCAGAGGGACACAAGCACCTTGCAAAACCGCCGCGCGAGCGCTTCCAACAGTCGAGAAAATCTGCTGAATGAAGTAACTGCAACAAGCCGGAGTAGACTTGGTATGCTGGGACTTGCCACTCATCATGGAACCAAACTACCACACATCCTAAGCTCTCCTGCATGGACATGGGGCAGTACCTGCCGAAGGCAAGTCTTCTTGGCCTGTCTCCCAGGCATCAATGCTGCAAAATTCGGCGATCTCATCCTCAGACCAGCGATGCATGACCAGACTGATGTGCTGGGCTGGTCTTATAGGGCTGCAAAGAGTGAGTTTGTTGGAATCCGAAGAGCGCTCTGATTACCCACCGAGGTCACCATTGTCTATGACCCTCTGCTTGCCTGAGCTCTGGGTGATGACACAGCGTGGGATGAGACGATGTTCTTGTCCTGCGGTGTAGGCCAAAAAACTCTGCTCGCCGCAGAGGTGGAGTACAAAAGCCATTTTTGGCGTCCTCCATGGACTGCTGCAACAAGAAGGCATCATCTTTGCCCGGCTTCAACTGGTTCAAGATATGTTGGCTGTGTTCCTGCCATCCCTCCAAAACATCAGCCATGCGGATCCTCCGAGCTGACTGTTGAAGGAAAATGCCATAAGGAGGGGCGTACCCAACGGCAGGAAGGCCTCTGACGAGCCCATACGGGAAGCCGCTGTCAGCCCAAGATGTGAGTGAGCATCAGCAGGAGCGCAATGAAGCCAATGTCACGCTGTTTGGTCACTTGTCGCACTGCCGCTTCTTGAAAGGTCCTCAAATGGAGGGTCACCCCCTCCCAACGCCGTTTGAGCTCCCGCAATGCTCCCACTGCTCGGAGGGGGGACCACCATCTGGGGGGTGGTAGCCGGGAGGTAGCCGGCCTGGGGGACCATACCTTCGGGGGTGGGCGGTACCGGGCCGCAGACCGGGACCATATATATATATGTATATATATATATACTTGAGAGATGATTTTTCTTAAAATCCGTTGTACAATGTTGCATGTACTCATACAGTTTGTTTTACAACACAAACGGAAACTTTCTCCAGTGCTGGCCAAGCCACCCATACTGACAAGGATTGGCGTGACTAGGCCATTGCCATAAATGCCATAAATATCTTAGAGTATATTGGTCTAGCCATGGGTCTAGCCAGTGTCGATTTATGTCTCACTTTCTGACAAGCATTCTGCTTGGTATCTTCTCTCGATACACTTGACTTTGGAACACGTTGACAGCTCTGTGGCCTTGTTTTGCTCTGGCTTGCGACACAGGGTACTTTTAACTTTGCAAAGGATTGCAGAGAAGCAATGTATTCATGGTCTCCTTTTTTTCTACTGGACAGTCCGGCGACATTCCGAGCCAAGATTTACCATGCAAACGAGGTTGTGGCAAGTCTTACTAAGTCTTACTATACTGATGCTTTGTGCCTTGCGTACCCTGACTCCATACCTACTTGCGCATGCCTTTGACCCAACTTTGACCCAACTTTGACCCCAGTCGACCTACTTCTCAAGTTGTCAACTGATGAATCTTGTGGCGTATCTTGACGTATCCGTGGCTTGTCTTTTGGCACTTATTTTTCTCCAGCCATGTGCACACAGCAGCATGTCCAGAAGCCTGGCTGCGCGGCACAGGGCGAAATGACATTCTTTTGAACATTCAAACAATGAAGTGAGCAAAAAACCGAGCAAAGCCGAGCAAAGAAATAAACTCTAAACGGCTCGGCTCTCTCGGGGGATCAAACGGCTCCAGCCTTTGCTATGAAGGTCAAGGTGGTACCGTCAAGCGCAGCACCTGCTCTGCAAAATATTGCACTGAACATGTAACATAGACATAGAATGACATGCCAATCAATGAAGAGACACTAGATAGATTTTCTGGATACGTACTAGATGCCAACATCTCTCCATGACTCCATGCTTGTCTTGCTTGTCTTGCTTGTCTTGCTTGTCTTGCTTGTCTTGCTTGTCTTGCTTGTCTTGCTTGTCTTGCTTGTCTTGCTTGTCTTGCTTGTCTTGCTTGTCTTGTCCCTGTTCCCTTCTCTGTCTATTGTCTCCAGCTGTCTCCATATCCTCCTTTTCTGCCGCACCTTCAGCAGTAAGTAGGTGTAGCATTGGAGCATGGCCAAACTGTGCAGCTGCATGTGCTGCTGTCACACCCTGGCGTGAAACTTCAAAACTTCAAGGCATAAGAGACGCCTGAGCCTTCAAGCACTGCAGGCTAGCTGCAGACTAATATTAGACATCAGATGTTTACCTGTTTACACAAGATTACACAAGGTAACAACACATTCAAGACATGTCAAGAGAAGTGATGTCGCACCACAACACACTCCCGGCATCCTGCGTGTCCATCACATTTACGTCAGCTTTGTGGGCGATCCTCATCTGTGCGATATATACCGATTTATGCGAGTTCAAACATGGTTTAAGGTGCAGATCGTCTGAAACCAACAAAGCTAACTCAATCAGTTGCTCTCAATCGGGAAGCCAAATGGAAGCTGACTGGAAGGCACGCTAGTTAAGGCTAAGCCTGCTGCAAGAGTCTCATGGCTGCCAAATGACCTTCACCAGCAAGGAAATGCCTTTGGGCAGAAAAGGCAGGAAAATGCCGAAAGATGCAGAAAGGGCAGAAACATGCAGAAAAAGTGAAACGATCTGAAACGGTCTGAAACGATCTGAAACGATCTGAAACGATCTGAAACGATCTGAAACGGGTGAACCCCGTCCTGGCTTTCGTGAGGCGTGCAGGTCAATGATCTATCGATAGCATGTTGCTGGAGACAAGCGGACCAAGGTGAAGAATCTGTTGAAGAATCCGTTCAAAAAAGGGTCGGAGGTAACTTCGACCATGCAAAAAAAAAATAAAAAAAAGTGGGATGCATATGTATGCAGCGATGCATGCTTGTGCCTTGCTCCCTCTTTTCAGAACATGTTGCACAGGCATGACAGAAAAACGACGTGCCGAAGTTATCTAAGTTGCGGTCTACAAGGTCTACAAGACTCAGCCAAGTACAATGGTCGCGCTCCGAAGTCATCAGAAACATCGGGATCTGCCTCTGGACACAGCTATGGCATTTTGAATGCAGTTGTCCAAATCCATCTTTACCAACATTGCCAACCAATACAGCGAGAACATATGAGAACATACCCGTTCAATCCCATTCATTCATGTAACACAGCCCACAAATTGTGGTGTCTTCTTCCTTCTTCTTGGTTGGGAGCTCCAATGATTTGTGGCACGGAGGACCACCATGGGAGGTTTGGGAAAGTGAAGTCTTGAGTCTCCCGGTTCAATCCAACTGAAGCTGAGTCCAACTGCAATTGCCGTGCCTTTAGCTTCAACAACTCTTTCATCACTGAAACATGTCCAGTTGTAGCTGCCCAATGTAGCGCGGTCGCACCTTCACTGCAACAGAAAGGGAGAGAGAGAGAGAGAGGGAGAGAGAGAGAGAGCAAGGGAAAAAAAGAGAAACGGAGACACCGAGACAGACAAACGAGAACCCGCAATTTCACGCCGTGAAAGCATAGACTGGACATTGAAAGATATGAAACGTTTGGGTTTATCATGCTTTATCACGGGCTTGTCATGATCTGACCATCACGGGTTCAAAGCGCTTCAGGCTGCTTCAAGTTGTTTCCCAGGTACAGATCAGATCAGTTATTTCCAATTGTCTCCCATTGTTTCCCTGTGCCTTCTTCGTCTCGAGCATGTGGTCCGATCTGTTGTGCCAAGAAAGCGCTTGCGGAGCTATGGCCCCGAGCTGCAGCCCATCGTAGCGCATGGGTCGCATGGGTCGCATGGGCCACCACTGGCTGAGTCCTCGACTTCCCGGCCAATCCGGCCATGTTCATCAACTTACGCATCACTGCCACATGACCATTCCAGGCAGCCCAATGTAAAGGAGGGAGTCCAGCTTCGTTCAACATCCCAGCTCCTGCAAGTTCAACAAGTTCAGCTCCTGATAGAGCTGAACTTGTCGCAACTTCGTCCAGTGCTTGTAGATCTCCAGTGACAGCAGCACGGTGCAGTGGAGGCAAGGGGCTCACAGATCCGATGTAGCCGACACCGACATTGAAGGTGGCAAGCCCACATGTCGCATGAGCCCAGCCATCCGGCAAGTACAGGATGTCCGATGGACCAGTAACGCAGCGATACAAGGGCAGCTCTGTCGAAACTCTGCGAGAGAAGCTGCAATGGTGAGAGCGTTGTTCAGTTCGTTCACGTTGACCTCGATGCAACTCTGGAAGAGCCCCACCTGGTCCACCGACAAGCCACCTGATGTTCGACATGAGGACATGAGTAGAATGCAGCTCCATCGCATGCTAGTCATTGTCACAACATGCCGCAACTTGTTCCAACATGCTCAACTCCCAGCAAGTCAACTTGGAAGGCAACGCAAAATGAAAGTGTTGGCCGAACAGCAAAGAACAGGCTTCAATTGCTTCATCACCAAGCCGCAGCTTTTTGCCATAGATCTGTGCCATCCAAGCCTCTTCGTGCCTCATGCAACCAGTGATGAAGTGGCTGGAAAAGTACCGGTGGTGAAAAGTACCTGACTCGACTTGACTCATTGCTTGCCACCGGTGCTCGTGCCCGCCTGTGAAGAACTGCAGTGGAACCCGGACCGCCAATGCTGACACTTGGCCCGTGCAGCTGAACGCTGTCCAGTTCATTTGGTACACGAAGAGCTCGACAAATGGCTGACACTCTGTGGTGCGGCCTTGGAATAGAATATCAACTCACCAAATTTGGCACTGTGAATTCGTATGACATTGTATGACATTTCTGATGACATTAGTATGACACTAGGAGACTAACCAACCATGCTTACAAAGACCAGCAATGATTTCAGCTGTATATTATATAAATTTACATAAATATATACGTATATGTAAACAAAGATCAAAAATTGTGACTTCTTTGAGAGAGCGAGGGGCTGCAAGTAGCAACAGCCTCCCCCGCCAGCTGTTGCTGCGTGCACGACTGATGTCCTTGAGATGAGAAGCAAGACGCAGGATGTAATATATCCATCGTAGTAAGATGAGCTCAATGATTATCTTGGCCCAATATAAACCCTGCGACTTGTGCTTGTTTTGCTCCGGGACGAATGAAAGGCTTGATTCGGCTTGGTGTCTTCTTCCCGCTTCCCCCCCACATTGCCGCATTGCCGGTGGTCCGGGGGTCCTGTTCTTTCTTGCACCAAGAGCGAGACCGCAACCTGCACAGAAATCAACAGATTCAAAAAGCAAATTGATTAATTAATATGATTTAATCGAGAGCTGATGGATTCTTTTTGGTCCACGTCAAGGGCGCGTGGCACCGCAAGGCATGGCACTGCATGGCACTGCATGGACTGTAGAGGCATGTGAGCCTCTGTGCAAATCGCTTGGCCTGACAGTCTGCGTTCCTGAGAAACAAGCAGAAAAACAATTTCACTGTAGCACTGCCCAGTCTGTCCAGTCTGTCCAGGACTCCATGTCCCTCTGTCTCCAGGATGTTGATCACTTGATCGACACAGGTTAAGCAGTTGTTTAGGTGTTCAGGTCTGAGCCGTGCCGAGCAAAAAGCTTTGCGCGTGCCTCGCAACAAAATGCAACAAACCCATCTCACAAGAACCCAACGAAATCATCGAAATCAAGGAATTGTATCAGTCACTTCGTCAGTCCGACTTCTGTGTCTGATGACTGTCAGTCCCAGGGGCGGAGCAAAATGCCGCTTCAGTTCCCGCCATCCACGGCCGGATGCCCAACCTGACAGAGACTTGCAGCTTGGTCTGATGTCTGATGTCTGATGTCTGATGCCTGCTTTGTCAGACTCAGTTTTACACTTTGAAAATGGTCTTTGACATGGTGTGATGTAGTTTCCATGATGCTCCGGCATGTTTTCACATGTTCCTCGTAGAACAACCGCTGCTTTTCCAAAGTAGAGCTCCTGCTAGCGCCAAGCAGCAGTACAAAACTCCACATCCACAAAACAACCAAAAAAACAACAGCAAATATAATAACTAGATAGTATAAAACGGTGTGTATATATATAGTATAACATATATAATTTAACTGTATAACTTAATGTTTCAATCAATGCTTCATGATGTTTCATGAACATTGTGTAGTAACAACGTATTGAAACAAGTTTTAGATATTGAAACAATTTCGAGGTCCTGGAAGGTTTGGCGTTGAAAACGGTCCAACTGAGGCCTCAAAGTGATGAACTCTGCCAACACTGCCAACTGTTTCTCAGCACAAACTCTAACATCTTAGGGCTGCTGCAGTTCGCACTCAGCGCCATAACTGCCTCCATTTTCTGCAGCCGTCGACTGTTTTCAATGCTCACCCGCTATGTCTGAAGCAAAACACTTTTGCGGCCTTGCCATGCAATGAAGAAGCTAAGGCAGCTAAGGTTTTCTGCCAAACATCGCATGAAGACGGCAGGATGGAGCAATGTGGGTTTGGATGCACGTTTACTTACTAAGCAATACGGCAATGCGTGTCAAAGTATTGGTCAATTTCGTTTTCTAAAGTAGCTGCCAAGTCCTTCAGAGGCAGTAAAGAGCACTTTGCAACTCCCCTATACCCATGCCAGCCATGTAAGCGTGTAGTCAGTATTGTACTTCCCTTGGCCTAAGCTGATCTGCGCGAAGAACAACAGCTGTCAGTGCGCAGACGATGTCTTTAATTACAGATAAAATAGAGGCAGTGACACCTAGCCTAAGCTCATCTGAAAGACAATGGATGTGCAAATGTGTGTATATATATATACAATCGCATACATATAAAGTATGCGTGTATATACTGTATACTGTAAACTGTAATCTGCAAACTGTATGTGTATTTGTATGTGTATGTGTATGTGTATGTATGTGCATGTGTATGTGTATATGTATACTGTATACATGTATGTATACGTGTATGTTAAGTTCATATTAACAATAAACAACCCGTATTACCCAACACCCGCAGTCCAATGTTTGGCAATACTACTTTGGGTTGGTCCCTCCCTATTAATCAACATGGGTGGCCACCTATTTATTTTTTAAAAAAAAATCTGGAAAATCATTTTTGTTGGCGGTGAGAAAGTGATTTGGTTCTGATGTTTCTGTCCTGATGGTTTCCCCATACATAGGAACCTTATGGTTTCTCATTGGTTTCCTCATCTTCCCCATAGGAATCTTATGGCTTGCCACTGTTTTCATCATACTAAATCTCAGGAATCCCATTCCAAATCTCATTAATTCCATGTTTGGCCTTGATGCTCATTATTTGGATGCGAAAACCTTCCCATGGATCTGGACCTTCTAGAGGGAGTTATTAATAATAACTTGGCAATATATGTAAATGGTTGCTCGGGATGTATATGTACATGTCTGTGTGTATGTGACCCCCTTGGGAATTCGGTCGGTTGCCCATGACTACCCTTTTATAGTGCTAAAATGGTAAGCACAAGCCCTCTCAGCACATGGCGCTCTATAGAATGGGATTCTTGAAATTAAAAAGCACCAAAATCTATAGAATGGTCTTTCCAACCACCTTCAACTGTCTCACTAACTAACTAACAGATTAAGCCTATAGAATGGTAACCATGACCAAATCACTTAAGGTTGTTTATTGCCACTACCCACTATAGAATGACTTCCGTGACCCAGATCCACCTAGTCCCTGGCAACTGTGACCCATATCGAATGCCTTCTTCAAATTCTTTGGCATGGTCAGGGGCGCCATTTATAGCGGCCCCAGGGTGATTGAAATTACTTTGTTTGAGGGGTTTGCAAGCATGGGCAACCCAACCCCCTCCCCGTGCTTCATTTTAGGCTCTTCCCAAACCCCTCTGATGTGATGCCGTTTTATAGGAAGCCCCGGGAACATCTGGCGTACCCAAATTCATAGTGGTCTGGGCAGGTAGTGTGGATGTGGGTCTGCGCGAACTTACGGCATTGTTCTTCACAAACAAAGGATTTCGGGATAGCGTCCGTGTGTCTGGCTTGAAGATACGGACAGCATGGGTGAGCAAGGAAGAATTCGACTCCATAGAATGGTCATGCTCAACCCTAAAACTGTTGCTGTTACTAAAACCAACATCTCTATAGAATGGTATCTTACTAAACCAACATCTCTATGGAATGGCACTCCTGCCTGATTCAAGCAATCAAAGCCTCTATAGAATGGTGGCGCATGCCCCTTTGGACACACATATCACCAAAAATCTATGTTAAAATGGTAGCTGTTTTGGAGGGTTAACCCTAGCCATTCTGTAGGGGAAGTTCCAAATATATACATGAGATTGCCTGGAGCTCTCCTGCATTTGTTCCGAGTTTTGCTTGCTTTGAGCATCTTTGGCCCTTCTGGCTACCGCCAGACCACTCACCACTTGAGAATATTTCATTGTGGTCACCTGCCAGAACTGACACTCTCAGATTGCTTGACTTCAAAAGAGACCGCGTTTATTGTAGCAGTGGCTGACACAGTAGGGACCCAGATTACACTTTTAAAATATCACAAAGCCACTGGAGTAAGCAAGTTCGTATCGCACATTCTAGCTGCGTGCGATCTTTCAAATACCCTCGCGGCATTTTGCAACAGCAACCGTAACAACAATAGATACTGGCCTCAGAGTATGAATGTTTAATTGTTCCGCTGACCCGCCAATGAAAACCAGTCGATGTTCAAAGGCCCGAAGCTGAAAACTAGCATTGCTATGCACTGTTTGCAGCCTGTTGTTGCACGTTATTGCTGTGGTTTCCGTGGCATTCGGATCACAAGTGAAAGCATGCCAGCAAGTCGTGGAGGTGGCTGGAAGTCATCCTCAAGCTGCGGAAGTTTCGGAGACGGCGAACCTGTCGTGCACGAACATTCATGAATTTCATGAGTTTCATGAACGCACTTCTTGAATATCTTGAATCTTGATCCAATGCTGCCTTCAGCTTTCAATCGTGATGTCGAAGCACGCAGCAATGCGGCTGGGCTGAAGGACTCGGAGACAAAACATCACAATTTTCGCGCGAAAAAGGAAGGCTGTGGAAGACTAGGAAAAGGATGGACAGATATGGACAGCATTCAGCATTTCTATCAAAGTGCATGCTCTGTCTTGGAAGCCAAAGGCAGGCTTCGGCTGTGTCAGTTCTTCTGCAAATCTCTAGGCATCATCACCCATCAATACCCTCTTCCACATGCTCGTTCTTTTGAAAAGAAGCTCTTGGTCGCTCCAATATCTATGCTATGGATAAGGGTTGAGTCTAGAATACGCATCCTAACACCAGGCAGCAAGGACAATCAAAGGAAGTTTAGAAATCTATGTTTCCGCGGTAGGGAGCCTCACAGCAAAGAAGAATGACAGCAAAGAAATCTCACAGCACAGAAGCCTCGCAGCACAGAAGGGTCGCACGAAAGCTTCGTTTCTACAAGTTGAAGTTTGCAGTCTTTGAGGAAAGCCGCGCACGAAAGCATCGTTTTTGAAGAAGTTTCGCACAAAATGCGTTTTTGAGAGATAGCGGATGCGTGAAATCGTATGTTTTGCAGGACAAAACGTGCCTCTGAAGATGGATGGGGTAAGGTCTGCCAAACGACCGTTTCGAACATTTCCTGTGGATATCCGTGATTTCTGTGTTTGTTTCTTGTGAGCTTGGAATTGCAGTATGCATGTGAGTTCCTGGGTATGCGTACAATCCTGCGTCGAAGTCAAAGGATCCATGTGAATTCCTCAGGTATCCGCACAATCCTTTTTGTAGAGGTTGCACGATGTGAATTCCTCAGGTATGCGCGCAATCCTGCTTGTCAAGGTTGCACGACCCATGTGAATTCCTAGGGTATCCATGCAATCCTGCTTGTAGAGATTGCACGATCCATGCGAATTCCTAGGGTATCTGTTGAACCCTCTTTGTCGAGGTCGAAGGACCCATGTGAATTCCTATGGTATCCGCGCAATCCTCTTTGTCGAGGTAGCAGAATCCATGTGGATTCCTTAGGTATCCGTGCAGTCCTGCTTGTAGAGGCAATGTGAATTGCATGTGAATTCCTGGGGTAGCCTCGCAATCCTCTTTGCAACTCCTCTTTGTAGAGCTGGCAGAATCTTTGGAATGGTTGCGCCGTTGCAACGATGAGTTCTTGCTGAGTTTTCTCGGTGTTGGCGCCTTTCATTTTCCTTTTCAAATGCCTTTTGAACAAGCTTCAAGATGGTACTTTTTTCGGCTCTGGCGCCGAGGTGCGGTTTTGGAGCAGGTTTTGGGCCAGAGAAGAGCTGAGATGATCTGAGAGTGAGCTGAGAAGAGCTGAGCTGAGGTGAGAAAAGCTGACAAGAGCTGGGGAGAGCTGAGAGGAGCTGAGAAGATGTGAGAAGATGTGAGAAGAGCTTAGAAGATGTGAGAAGAGGAGAGAAGAGATGAGAAGACGTGAGATGAGCTGACATGAGCTGTGAAGAGCTAAGAAAAGTTGAGAAGAGCGGAAAAATTATGAGAAGAGCTGAGATTAGATGATATGGGATGAGTTGAGACGGCCTGACATGAGAAGAGCGGCGGAGAGCTGAGAAGAGTTGAGTTGAGACGAGCTGCGTTAGAATGGAGAATCTGAGAAGGGTTGAAAAGAAAAGAGGCCAGATGAGCTGAGAAGAGATGAGAAAAGCTCAGATGACATAACAGATGAGAGCAGTTGTGATCAGCTGAGAAGAGCGGAGAAGAGGAGAGAAGACATGAGACGAGATGAGATGTGGTGAAAAAAGCTGAGAAGACACCAGATGAGATGAGATGGGATGACACAGACTGCAGTGGCAATGGGATGCAATGAGAAATTTCCAAGAGAAGCTGCGATGCGACGAGATCAGGTGAAATGAGGAAAGATTCAACCTTGACAAGAAACGGCACCGGAATGAAAAGTCGAGAGATTGTTGCTGCGAAGCACAAAGGCCTGCCTGCACCCTATAGGCGCATTCTTTGTTCTGCTCTATTGGCTGTAGGCAATTCAATTTTGAAAATTCTAAGTTTGTTTCATGTACAGCCCTTGGCACGCATCCACTACCCCATCTGATCTACTCAGAGGGATAAGTGGGAAGAGATGCGATCATGTCCATCGCCATCTCTAACTTCTATCTATACAAACTTGTAACAATAGGAATCCAATCAGCCGCTGTGGGCTGACACGGGCACGGTGCAGAGGCCCAGGTGGACGATTTTCCGAGATGTTCAATTTGAAACGACTTGAAGACATCTTGAAGCTGTTTGGTTTTGCTCCAGCGAGATCACAAAGTGCTGAGTTAGCTGTGACGGTGATCTATTGCCAATTGTGCAGTGGAGGAGCTTGCTGAAAAGGCCCCAACCATCCACAACCTGATAGTCCTTACTACAGTCCTGCACGTCCACTGCACGTCCACTGCACTTCCTATAGGTCCTATCAGGTCCTATCGGGTCCAATTGGTGGTAAATAGGACATTGCCCTTCAATTGGGTCCCAAGAAGTTGGTGACACTATCCGTCTCTATCCCACCACTGGTATCACAAGGACGACGCAAACATACACAGACTAAGGATGACCAAGGTATATCTAGGTCAAATGTGGCCATGCTGACCCATGTCGACAGTTTAGCCGGCCAGGACAACCATCAACACTTTGAGAAATTCTCAAAGTCTGCAAGTTTGAAAGCTTGAAGCTTGAGTAGATCTTTTTTAGCAGCGTCATGCGACAAACAAGCTTGGATGCAGACTCGGCCCCAGCTGCTTTGACGCCGCCAACCACCTCCAAAGGTTTTGCGAATTGCCCCAAGACGAAACCGGCCATGTGACAATTGACATCAATTGACAAAGTGTCCTCTCAAGTCCTTACAAGTCCTCAAATGATCTCACATTCCGACCTAGGTCTGAAAGGAAATCAGTGTGGTACTTTCCAAATTTCCCAAAGCTGAGAGCTGAGAGGATGCTGACTGCGACAGCTACCACAGCTGCCACGGCTTAGTGGCCGTGTCACAGATTTCACAGGAAGTTCTTACAGCACTGAGCTCGGGAAGCTTCGGTGGAAACTTTCATGGAAGCTTTCGCGGCACCCGAATCCCCTGCGACACTAGGCCCCACTAGGCCACTAGGCCACTGGGCTCACGGCTCAAGACAGATGAAACTCGCCCACGAGGTGGCCTAGCAGAACTAGCAGAACTAGCATCGCACGTTGGCAGAACGTGATTTTTCTGATTCTTTCGTTTCAATGTGAGAACATGTTTGACAACGCTGTAGGCAACATAGTGTTATACATGTTGTATTGTGTGATAATACGTTTTGTGATTGTGATTTTTGTGATCATGTGAAGCTTTTGCCTGTTTGTACCTGCGGTCAGGCAGTCAAGTCTAATTAGTGACTCTGTGGGAAGAGGTCGTGACACAAAACGATCAAAGCTTTGATATCTGTGAGGATGGCAGTGATGGCAGCATTCGCAGCACTTCGCAGCACTGGCATCGCTTTCTGCTCCAATCTGCTGTGGATATCGGTCCACTCGGTCCACTGATCATACTGATCGTATCTCGTTTCAAGTCTCGTTTCAAGTCTCGTTTCAAGTCCCTGTGTCTCGATGTGTCTCTACAGCTCTTGCTACATATGATTTACATATGCTACATATGCGACATTGTCTCTACATTGAGTCGCCGACCGAGTTGCTTGGGCAGTGTCTAGAGCCTTTCGACATTTTGACGTGCAAAGATAAGCAAAGCACAGGAAAGTGACTTTACAAAGGCATCCCGATGGCTTCAGGTGGCTCTTCAGTGGAGATTCTTTGTTACTGACACGCATCCAAACAAAGGAAACATGGAAAGCAAACATGGTTTGGGTGTTAGTCTAAGGCTTCGTATGGCTTCGCATCACATGGCACGGCAGCACCGCTGAGATCGGCTGAGATCGGCTGAGATCGGAGGGCCTCTTGCACTGATTTCAGATTTCGTAGGAGCTCTTCCCGTTCGGCCAGCAAGGCCCTGAAACATTCCATAATGCATCATGCTACCATGCTGCCATGCTGGGCAAGAGGAATGCCATGCTGATGAAACTGGAATTTCAAATATAATTATATATATATACAGTATATAATTCCAATAAGCGTTACATGCGGCAACAGCATGATGATGTGGATGTGAAGCAAGGAGCACTGTCTTGCCGTGTCTTTTGTCTTTCTCATTCTCTGCGCCTGAAGTCGGAGATACTGATGTCGCTCCAGACCTTGGCACAGCTGGGCACAGCTGGGCATGGCTGGGCACGGTTTAAGGCAAGTTCGATGTCAGAGATGTCATAGCATGACGTATCATACATCGTGTCTCATAGCACGACTCCCTACATATGATCACAACACATCATGTCTGGATGCGTCTGGATGTGTCTGGATGTGTCTGGATGTGTCTGGATGTGTCTGGATGTGTCTGGATGTGTCTGGATGTGTCTGGATGTGTCTGGATGTGTCTGGATGTGTCTGGATGTGTCTGGATGTGTCTGGATGTGTCTGGATGTGTCTGGATGTGTCTGGATGCGTCTGGATGCTGGATGCGTCTGGATGTGTCTGGATGTGTCTGGATGTGTCTGGATGTGTCTGGATGTGTCTGGATGTGTCTGGATGTGTCTGGATGTGTCTGGATGTGTCTGGATGTGTCTGGATGTGTCTGGATGTGTCTGGATGGGTCTGGATGCGTCTGGATGCGTCTTGATGTGTCTGGATGCGTCTGGATGCGTCTGGATGCGTCTGGGCGTCTGGCTGTGTCTGTATGCGTCTGGATGCTCTGGAGGTGTCTGGTTCGTCTGGAATGCGTCTGGATGCGTCTGGATGCGTCTGGATGTGTCTGGATGTGTCTGGATGTGTCTGGATGTGTCTGGATGTGTCTGGATGTGTCTGGATGCGTCTGGATGCGTCTGGATGTGTCTGGATGTGTCTGGATGTGTCTGGATGTGTCTGGATGTGTCTGGATGTGTCTGGATGCGTCTGGATGTGTCTGGATGCGTCTGGATGTGTCTGGATGTGTCTGGATGTGTCTGGATGTGTCTGGATGTGTCTGGATGTGTCTGGATGTGTCTGGATGTGTCTGGATGTGTCTGGATGCGTCTGGATGTGTCTGGATGTGTCTGGATGTGTCCGGATGTGTCTGGATGTGTCTGGATGCGTCTGGATGCGTCTGGATGTGTCTGGATGTGTCTGGATGTGTCTGGATGTGTCTGGATGTGTCTGGATGTGTCTGGATGTGTCTGGATGTGTCTGGATGTGTCTGGATGTGTCTGGATGTGTCTGGATGCGTCTGGATGCGTCTGGATGTGTCTGGATGTGTCTGGATGTGTCTGGATGTGTCTGGATGTGTCTGGATGTGTCTGGATGTGTCTGGATGTGTCTGGATGCGTCTGGATGCGTCTGGATGCGTCTGGATGTGTCTGGATGTGTCTGGATGTGTCTGGATGTGTCTGGATGTGTCTGGATGTGTCTGGATGTGTCTGGATGTGTCTGGATGTGTCTGGATGTGTCTGGATGTGTCTGGATGTGTCTGGATGTGTCTGGATGTGTCTGGATGTGTCTGGGTGTGTCTGGGTGTGTCTGGATGTGTCTGGATGTGTCGACTGGATGTGTCGACTGGATGTGTCGACTGGATGTGTCTGGATGTGTCTGGATGTGTCTGGATGTGTCTGGATGCGTCTGGATGCGTCTGGATGCGTCTGGATGCGTCTGGATGCGTCTGGATGCGTCTGGATGCGTCTGGATGCGTCTGGATGTGTCTGGATGTGTCTGGATGTGTCTGGATGTGTCTGGATGTGTCTGGATGTGTCTGGATGCGTCTGGATGCGTCTGGATGTGTCTGGATGTGTCTGGATGTGTCTGGATGTGTCTGGATGTGTCTGGATGTGTCTGGATGCGTCTGGATGCGTCTGGATGCGTCTGGATGTGTCTGGATGTGTCTGGATGTGTCTGGATGTGTCTGGATGTGTCTGGATGTGTCTGGATGCGTCTGGATGTGTCTGGATGCGTCTGGATGTGTCTGGATGTGTCTGGATGTGTCTGGATGTGTCTGGATGTGTCTGGATGTGTCTGGATGTGTCTGGATGTGTCTGGATGTGTCTGGATGCGTCTGGATGCGTCTGGATGTGTCTGGATGTGTCTGGATGTGTCTGGATGTGTCTGGATGTGTCTGGATGTGTCTGGATGTGTCTGGATGTGTCTGGATGCGTCTGGATGCGTCTGGATGCGTCTGGATGTGTCTGGATGTGTCTGGATGTGTCTGGATGTGTCTGGATGTGTCTGGATGTGTCTGGATGTGTCTGGATGTGTCTGGATGCGTCTGGATGTGTCTGGATGTGTCTGGATGTGTCCGGATGTGTCTGGATGTGTCTGGATGCGTCTGGATGCGTCTGGATGTGTCTGGATGTGTCTGGATGTGTCTGGATGTGTCTGGATGTGTCTGGATGTTTTGGTCTGGATGGTTCTGGATGTGTCTGGATGTGTCTGGATGCGATGCGTCTGGATGCGATGCGTCGGGATACGATCGTCTGGTGCGATGCGTCTGGATGCGTCTGGATGCGTCTGGATGCGTCTGGATTGTGTCTGATGCGTGTGGATGCGTCTGGAATGCGTCTGGATGCGTCTGTATGCGTCTGGATGTGTCCCGGATGTGTCTGGATGTGTCTGGATGTGTCTGGATGCGTCTGGATGCGTCTGGATGCGTCTGGATGTGTCTGGATGCGTCTGGATGCGATGCGTCTGGATGCGATGCATCTGGATGCGATGCGTCTGGATGCGATGCGTCTGGATGCGTCTGGATGCGTCTGGATGCGTCTGGATGTGTCTGGATGCGTGTGGATGCGTCTGGATGCGTCTGGATGCGTCTGGATGTGTCTGGATGTGTCTGGATGTGTCTGGATGTGTCTGGATGTGTCTGGATGTGTCTGGATGTGTCTGGATGCGTCTGGATCCGTCTGGATGTGTCTGGATGCGTCTGGATGCGATGCGTCTGGATGCGATGCGTCTGGATGCAATGCGTCTGGATGCGATGCGTCTGGATGCGATGCGTCTGGATGCGTCTGGATGCGTCTGGATGCGTCTGGATGCGTCTGGATGTGTCTGGATGCGTGTGGATGCGTCTGGATGCGTCTGGATGCGTCTGGATGCGTCTGGATGTGTCTGGATGTGTCTGGATGTGTCTGGATGTGTCTGGATGCGTCTGGATGCGTCTGGATGCGTCTGGATGTGTCTGGATGCGTCTGGATGCGTCTGGATACGTCTGGATGTGTCTGAGGATGAGGCTCTCGATTCCCAGTGCATGTCAGGAGTCTCCTGTTTTACGCCAGCGAAAGCAAGACATAAACAAAGCGAAGCGAAAAACTGCATCATGTCACACGTCATGTCACGCGTCATGTCACACGTCATGTCACACGCGTATCGTCATGTCAAGTCAGGATCTGCCTCCATGTCGCCATGTGCGTCATCGGCATCAGCACCTCGCACCATTTTTTGCACTACTAGTAGCATGAAGGCATAAGGCACGGAAGGCATGGAAGGCACTGAAGGTATGATTCACACAAAGGCATCACAAGGCGTGCGCATTGCTTCAGATAGCTTCAGTACAAAGACAATGCCACAACCACAAGACCCTTATTCACATAGGTGGGCAGTCGGCAGTCACAAACACATTGGCATCAAAAATGTTCAGAGCTGTTTCTAACACATCAAAGACTCTGAAGGAGATGTGGCGCACCAAGATGTTGCTGAAACGTCGTCAAGAAATCGAACAGAGGCGGAAGGCGGTCCTAGCCCACAGTAAAATGCAATGGCAAGGTGCCACGGCAAGAGGATATATCAAGATATATCATTGCCGTATCAAGGCAAAGCCCCGATACTCAAAGATGTAGCGGGCCACCAAGAGCCACATCTCAACCACGCACACGAAAACATATCGGCCAAATATCCGAAATATATCAGCAACATATCCAATGTATTCCAGTGTGCTGATCATGCTGATAGGGTTATTAAGTTATCGGGTTCCTCAGTCTGATGGCAGAAAGGTAAGCAAAACTGAGTCCTGCCAAAAGTGCTCGACCTGTTTGGAGCTGCCAAAGTGAGACTGAAGCTGAAGAATCTTTGAATGCAACTGCAACTGTCGTAAATTTGAGCGCCTCCCAAATTCCAGCAACAGGCTGACAGTTTCCTGAACGCAGGGACAAAAGTGACAAAGGGAACCAGATGGAACCAGGTTCGGAAAATGTAGGACCAGTGTAGGAGAATTAGGAGAATCATGGGGAATCTGAGTGTACAGACGTACAGAATCTGCTAGAAGCGAATTGGGAACTCAGCTCTGGGAAATCTCACGCGAACGGCTAGAGTGAAAGACAGACGCGTTCAGGTTGCTCGACGAAATGCGCCATAGGAATCAATTCGATGATCCTGTGATACACTGTGATACTACGTGAGTTCAAATCGAGAAGAATTATGACATCATGTGAAATCATGTGAAATCGAAGGTCAAAATCTTCAAATACAAGATCGTGTTTCTGCGAACGTCTGTGAATCACAAGTATCAAACCCTGCCAATGCCTTCGCCAGAGCGACGTGCTACGACGCACACCTGCGCAGTGGCGGAAATGGAGAAACACTGATAAACGGATAGAAATGGGACAAATATGGACAAATCCAAGCCGAAAAAGAAATAGTGATATGTATATATCTATCTCTATATATATATTATATCATATTATATTATATTATATTATATTGCATTATATTATATTATATTATATTATATTATATTATATTATATTATATATATATATTATATATAATATGATCAGAAAAGGGAGAGACGCATTTAAAGGATGGGGAAAAGCAAAGCGACCGACATCGCACAGCAAAGGCAAAAATGGTCAGGATCAGGCCGTGCCATGACAGAACAGAAGAAACAGAGGCAGCGAGGAAGAAACAGAGGCAGCAAGAATAGAATTGTAAAACTTGTTGGGCTAAAACAAAAGAGTAGTGCAACAGTGAAAGGACTTGGCCATGCATTGAACGAGTGAAGATCCGATGAATCTGCCTATATACATACATACATACATATATATATAATATGTACACATGCGATCATATGATAACGAAAGACTCATTATCACATATTATCAGATTATATTACATGTTACAATGTTCCACGGTTTTCATATAGAACTGGGTGAATTTGGCCACAAATGCCACATTTCGCGAGAGGCGCTCCTCGGGAAGTCCTTGCGCATTGAAAAGGATGGAGAGCTCAAACCTGGAACAGAGTCATAGTGTCACAGGTGTCACAAGCACTAACTATATAATACGATATAGTCACTAGGATGAGATGTTACATGTTTTTACTATGTATTACTATTACACACGAATACTAACCTTTTATTTTCCTTTCATTTTTGGATAGTTTTCGGATATGTAAGGATCCTGAACTTCCTCGGAGTGTTTTCGGAGCTTTCTCGATTCCACGGTATACATCCGCATCGGTATACCCGGTCTTACTTGCTCCATGCATGTTGAAGGAGCCATTGCAGCCCGTGGGACACTCAGTGAATTTGCACAAAAGCACACCATGCCTGCGCACACCATCTGTGAGCTTCAGAGGCATCATTTGCAGGACTCCATTTGCCATCTCCTCCAAAGTACTCCAAAGTACTCCAAAGTACTCGACACGCGACGAACACGCTACGAATCGTGACATGATCCTACGTGGTGATCTACGTGGTGATCTACGTGGTGATCTGCACGTTATGCACATATTGCACATGGTACTGAGTACAACAGTGCCACTGTTCCAGTTGGGGCCAAGAAATGTCTGGATTCACCAAGGCCACCAAGGCTTTCACGCAGGCTTCGGACGCTCTCTTGGCCTGAAACAGTGAATTTCATCGATAACCATCTCGTTAAGATTAGTAAAGATTCATCGATTCATGAATATCATGAGTTGTTTTGGCGTTTAAATATGTTTAAATAGGATTGCAATATCTTTGAGTTCTGCTTTAGAAAGATTGAGAAGGCTTTTGGCACACTCGTTTTGTTGAACCTCCGATACAAAATGAATCAACCAGGAAATGGTAGACTTGCATGACTCATTGCATTACTGGAAATCTCTGGAAATCTGACGTGACATGTTTTGCTGTCCTGGCGAAGCAGTTTGTTTGCAGCTTCATCACCGAAGTCACTCTTCACCAAAAGCATAGCCTCAAACGTCTCAAATCAAGCGCATCTTATAGAAATTTCTCAAATTGTCTTGCACAGCAGCCACTGCTATGAATAGCCCACCAGAAAGGAACACCTCATCATTCACCGTCAAACTCACATCCTGAAACTGTGCATAAACTGTTCATGATTGATGTAAAATGATGCAAAGTCTGGCCTTTTGAACTCCATTCTCCCATTCCGGGTTGATTTGGGCACAAGCTGAGATCTCCTTCACAAAGCAGCTTAGCAGCTTCGACGAAGACATCTGACATCTATTTCTCGTGACGTGCTTGTGACGTTCTTGTGATACTTGAAGTCAAGTACACTAAGTACACTCCTCCAAGGCGTGCTCGAAGTCATCTGGCGTAGCCTCAAAATTTAGCGTTCTAGCGTTCTGCCCACGCTGTTCGAGTTTTCCCCTGTATTCTGAAGCTGCAAATCCAAATCCAGGGATGATTCATTTGCAGTAAATATCATAATATCTCATAATATCTCAGATAATTCATGATAATTCTATGTCATTCCATGTCTCTATATTTCCTTCCGCCATTTTCACCCCTCCAGAAGCCTCATCTTTGCTGGCTCCAGCTTCGGGAACCTCGTGCCAGCTGGTCTTGAACACACATTGCAAGAAATCCAAATAGGATAGGCAATGTCTGAAGGTACTATATATATATATATTATATATGATATTCCAGAAGGCAATAAACGAATGAATCTGACACAGTCTGACTATGTCTAATTAACTATCATATCAACACTTTGTGTCGCCGTGGTTTCAACTTAGCAAGACCTGCAGTTGAGTCTCATGTCAGCTCAGGGTTTGACCTGCAACCGAAAAATGTAAGCACGGCCAATGGCAAGCCTCGTCGCACTGAGTCACCGTTGTTCAGATCACAAACCACATTGATTTGCATTCTTTTGAATTTCATTGAGTTTCATTGAAGATCATTGACACGTTCATGTTGGACTATGTTGGAGCATCTTGGATCATGACCTGTCACCATCTTGAAGTGACTGGCCAGCCTGTCAGGCACAGGTAATCCAGACCAAAACGTTCTCCCGTGTTTCTTTCCCCACTGTCACAGGCCTCTGGGACAACACATCCATTAACCTAGGCACCCAAGAGCACTGCAGGAGCACCAACACTGTTCAAATTGGGACATCTAGACATCCGAGGGAGTGGGATGCGAAGTCTTGTGAAGTCTTGTGAAGTCAATCCCTTGCTTTCAATGCTTTAATCATCTTTAATCTCATTTTTGCGTGGTGATGGTTCTAGCACTTCCAGCCAAGGCACTCGCACCAGCCCCTCACCAAGGGATCTGACGGAAAGTGCCACCTCGGCAACTGACAGTTGCTTTGCATTTTTGATGCTTACATTTACAGTATATACATATGTTTATCATAGGTTTATCATATGGTTTATCATTGTTTACTTAGTTTACTTATCTTCATGTTGGTTCCGTTTTGACTGCAGGGCAATTGCTTACTGCTCCTGTGGAGGT